AAAGGAAAAAAATTGTATAGGTCCTCTGGACGGGTTCTTCTTTAATGAAACGTTTCATTAAAGAAGAACCCGTCCAGAGGACCTATACAATTTTTTTCCTTTGATTTTTTACCTGGATTACTGAGATGCATCAGGACGTTAGGCGCACCAGTACAACCAGTGCAAAAAGTTAGTCTATAGAGCCCTAATAACCTTTTTTTGTTATGAGTTCACTCAGAACGGATGCAGGACACAAATGTGTTATCTAGCAAGTAGATTATTTTTGCAAACTTTAAATATATTTTGTGGAATTGACTTTTTTGTGTAAGTTTTAGGTATTGCGCATTTTGAATAATATCCATTGTTCCTTGATTTAAGACCAGTGTAAGAATGTGTATTATTTGAATGACTTTTGTATTTTTTGTATGAAAATGTCATAAAGCTATCTAACATTTGTGATAAGTTTTATCAAAAAGTTCAAATTCAAATTTTATTTATTCATTTCATTTAAAAAACACATTACATACAACAAAACAATACAAATCAAATAAAATGAAAGTCATCAGTACAAGTTACTTGTAATGATTAAAGGAGGGTGGGGTTATTATGCAAAATTGACATCTTTGAGCTTTATATCACGTTATAAAGTAATTTCCTCACCAAAAACATACCCAGTGTTGCGTTGACTCATTCAGTCATGTTTGAGAAATCCATGAATCTCCCGTGTTAGCCGTGTGGAGCTGCCTAAATACACAGGTACAAAGCACCGCCTATTTGTACGTCGCTCCTCTCTAGAGCTCAGACTGCAGCCAAGCTTCTGCCTCACAGCTCCATCACTAGCAGCAGCAACAATTAGCAAACACCTGGTGGAACTGCACATCTTATCGAGCTTTTAATACTAACTATTCCTCAGTCCAGTCCTTTTCAAATTAAAAAATGTCATCATTGAGGAAATGCATTTGTGGATGCCAAAGAGACTAGCCTCTTACAATGCTCCTAGCAGTTCTTGGAGAAACAGATGCCAATTTCAAGGCTGTTTGACTTTGCATCATAGCCATATTTAGTTTATTTTATGATTTAAAAAAAAAGCAATTGAAGGTAATAAACTTGAATTGAAC